TGCCGTGCATACTTAGCATTCTCGGATTAAGGTTATGACGTGAATATATACTTGGATACACTGTGGTTCCCGATACGCTCGAGTCGCGCGCAGCCGGGCGCAAAAGCACGGAATAATCTTAATTCGCGACAGCGCTGATACGCGCGTTGGTCCATCCGCCGCGACCGCGTCTCTCCTGTCTCTTGTTTTTGTAAATAATTTTCGGAAATAACCGACAAACAACACACACGCGTGTCGCAGTCTTCCGAAATCCTTCATCGCGGCGACTAATATGTGTTCACACGAGCGCGCGCACGCGCGGCTGCAGACGAGCGTTAAGCAATTCACGAGATACATCAACCCGTATCCCGTTATCTAGTGTCACATTTCGTGCTAAATGCGCCCGTATACACGCCTGCAGCGCATGTACAGCGCGTCCTGCCCGTCACGCGCGGCGACGATCCTGCGGGGGTCGTCGGTTCAGTGTCGATAGAAAATTGGCGAGCTGGCCGGTTGACCGGATATATTCCGCCTCGACGATATTCCAACGAACGGATCGAATCCGCCTTACACTCCCGAAAATTAGTCCCTCCCGTCGCGGACGTACGATATTTACGTATTTTCCGCGACGGAGATTCCACGGCGACGCGCGAGCGAGATCGACGAACTTGCTCTCGCACACACGTCCCCTCTCCCGCGCTCTCCACACTGTGCAAACTAATTCTCCCTGCGTGGCCTCTCTATATTTTATCGTCTGTCGTAAAAGCGACGCTCGACGAGCCGGTGATTCTCGAATTAGCGGAGCGGCCTGTTGTTGGCAAAGGAAATAGCACTTAAAACTCGTGGGACGCGCGCGCGCGCTCTCTCGATCTTCCGATATCCGTCGCTCTATTCGATACGTTCCCCGCATCGCGCAGCGTCGTGCCGCGTCCACGTCCACGTCCACGTCCACGTCATCCGATTTAGCGCCGTTAAGCACTCTATGTGGGTCAAATCAGAGCGGCGGGCTGGCCGCAAAGTCCGAAGCCTACACGTCCTCCTCTCTCTCTCTCTCTCTCTCTCTCTCTCTCTCTCTCTCTCTCTTGCCTTTGATATTATCGATTCAGACCGCGGCGTGCTCCTGGCTGCTGCCGTTGCCGTTGTCGTTGCCGTTGCCGCTGCCGCGCATTGCTGCACGACAGCCGGTTTACGTACATGCTCCCCGCGATGTGACAAACAGCATGACGCAGGCGACGCCTGCGACATCGCCGATATAATGCACACGTGTCGTTGATACGGCACGAAACGTCAAGACGTGTTTTCGAACGTCATCGTAACGACCGCCGCGAGAGCGAGCGAGCGAGCGAGCGAGCGAGCGAGCGGAAAGAAGGAAGGATGCGGATACATCGGCGAGACCACGGGGGAGACGCACGCGCGAGAGAGCGCCTCTCGCGTCCCTCTCTCGACGCCGCCCTGTCCCGGGGAATGATGCATATCGCAAATCTGCGATGCGCGTGAGATAACGCGAAGACGCCATCGCGGCGCGACGGAGCAGCAGATCTTGTCAGTTGCCTGACAATTAATTGACGCGGCGAGATGAGTGACGCAATAACAAGGAGCAGGGGGACGAGCATTCTTATAGGCCGCGATGTGGACGAAGGAAACGAGACGTACACATGGCGTATGTTGGAAAGTACTCGGAGCGGGAGGTAAGGAAGATGGGAAAGGGACGATGTGCACTTTGCGAACGCGTGACGGGAAGCATCGCGGAAAACACGCGCCGCGTCTCCGAGTCCCATAGGAACGCGAGGGCTTACGTCGGATATCAGACGCGTGATGACACACAGTGCACTCTTGCACGTCGCGAGTATCCGAGATACGAGGGCGAGCCGAGTGTAGCGTGGAGGACAGGCGGCGAGGCCGAGAGGGTGGCGAAAAAGGGAAATATCCTAAGTATCGACGGGGGGATGGCACCGACGAAAGCCATTACCCGCCGTCGGGCAACGAACAGGCGCAACAAAACTGCTCGCCTGCACACGCCTGTCGACGCGATAAAATCATTCATCGTTAAAACTCGTAGCGCGGATATCTTCGAGGCGCATCGTCGCAACAGCAAGAAAGCGGAGAGCGGTGAGAGAGAAAAGGAGAGGGGGAGGAATTAAGAGAAGGGCAAAATGGGCTGAGCCGACACTCTTCGGAGATATCCATCCCCGACATCCGCGACGCGACGCGACGCGACGCGAACGCGGAGATGAGTTTTCCGAGTTCCGATTTGTCGATTTGTCGATTTTTAAATCCGCGCCCGGAGCGACCGCGCGCCAGATCCGATCCATTCGCGCCGTAAAAGAGGGACCGGGATTTAACGGGCCATCATGCGACATTAATCCGATTAGTCGGTCGTAAGACGTAATACTCTAATTTTCCTCGAATTTACGAGGGTTTTATGAGAACACATCGCATATCCCGCCCATCACCGGATCAATTTATCGATGGATATCAGCATGATCCGCTTTTCTTCCTCTCTCTCTCTCTCTCTCTCATCTCATCTCTCGCTTTTTATCTTTCCATAAACTCCTTTTCCCGTGACCCTTTTCTCTCGCATCGCCGGAAATTTCGGTTAATGATGGTTATACACGTCGACGTGGCTCCGTGTTTTCCCTCGGCTTCAAACTGCCCGTCCGATTCGGCCTCTGGACAGAGCCGCTGGAAAAGGCATTTTATCTTACGTCAACATATTTCGCCCATTTCCATATTCATATTTGGAGTGACGCGAAAAACTTCCGAGAGTGGCTGTTTTATCTGGTATTTTTCTGAATACGCAATTACCATAAAATTGGCAACGCCGTCAGAGACAATCAGCTCGCGATACATCGCGTGCTCATAAATGTCATATACATGCTCGCATACCGTTTTCCGCGACTTGGCACGATTATCGCGTATGAACGATTTTTCCGTTCGCGGACAATAAGTAGCGATGACAACGATGGTGGCGCGCAGTCGCTCCTCCTCCTCCCCCCCCTCCGCTCCGCTGTAGAGGTGCGTTTTTCTCGGGCGAACAATGTAATTGTAAAAAATGTTATTTATGCCGCGCCGCGCGGCGTCACGCCGCGTCGCGTAGCGCTGCAGAACGACGCAATCGAACGCTCTTTGCACTTTAGAGTCCGGCGCAAATTTTATTCTTGGTAAAAAGCGCTCGCATAAAACGACCCGTCGACGCGACCCAACCCCTGATATCTCCGACATCGGATATCTCGGCGAATAGACCGTCGATATACGGAAGGAGAAAAGAGCCGATACGCCGTCGCCGCCGCCCCCGTCGTCGTCGTCGTCGTCGTCGTCGTCGTCGTCGTCGTCGTCGTCGTCGTCGTCGTCGTCGTCGTCGTCGCCGTTGCCGTCGTCGTCGTCGTCGTCGTTGTCGTTGTCGTTGCCGTCGTCGTCGTCGTTGTCGTCGTTGTCGTCGTCGTCGTCGTCGTCGTAGTAGAAAATCGACGTAGCAAAACGACGAAGCGGGTGCACGAACTCTCGACGACGTCTTCTAGGATCTTCGGGAATACTTCAAAATTTTCCACCATCGTCGTCGTCGTTTGCGTCGCTGTACTGCATCTGTACACACCAGAGGAAAAAGAAAGAAAACGAGAGAGAGAGAGAGAGAGAGAGAGAGAAGGGGGGGAGGGAGAGAGCGATAGAGAGAAAGAAAGACGCGTCGTAAATAGCGATCATTTAATTTCGATCGAAAGAATCGCCACATCTCTCGAAACGAGCATAACCTGCGCGCGAAAAGTTGCGTCGTTGCGACGTTTCGAATTTTATCCTCGCGAGCACTGAATTTTTACGACCTTATTGCGGCGTATCCATGCAGGAATGCATCAAAGCTTTCGTGCACTCCCGCGCGCCCGAAGATGTTCTGTCGGAGTTACAACGGAGAGAACGCGTCCTTTCGTCGTCTATTTTATGAGACGGATGTAAAACGCCTGAGACATCTCGCTACACGCGTAGCGATTGGATCGTGGTTTTACGCGTGAGATCGTTTAATGAGCCGAGCGGATAACGCGATATCAGCGCAAAATGCACGATTTGCGCGAGGTTGGTATCGTCGCGATTCTTTTTGGACATATATATTAATATTGTAGAAAATTATTATATATTGATATAAATATATCAACAACGCCGTGGCCGCAGCCAGCGCCACGTGAATGAATTTATTTTCGTTAATGTAACGTCACGTTATCGCCGAAACGGCAAATAATTTAATGCTACAATTAACGAAGGTGTTTATTCTAATATTGAATGCAATTATATGCGTGTATATATATGTATGTGTGTGTGTGTGTGTGTGTGTGTGTGTGTGTGTGTGTGTACATACGTTGTTCGCGTGAGCACGAGCAGTAGCAATAATAGTCTGATACTTATCGCATTACGCAGGGGCGTTCACGCATCACCGAATAATATAATCACAGGGAAAGCTCGTCGGGAAAATGAAACACACACGATACGTAATTGCATACAAAGTGAAAGATTATTCTGATAGAACGAATTCATTTATATGCCGCGCGAGCAAATTGCGTTTTTATCAATATGCGGACATATCCGCGGCAGACCGGGCTCCTCGAATTACGTTTTTGCCACGTACGTGTGTAAAATTGCGATTTCCCGTTGGCGCGTTGATCTGCGGAAAAACGGACGAAAAAGCATCGGGAAGAAATCCTTCCCGCCGCGCCCACCCCTCCCCTCTCCCCTCGTCCTCGTCGAGAAACGAGAAAAGTTGCTCGTGGCGCGAACGTGTAGCGCGCTAATTGCGCGCGCGGTCCTCGAGTGACCGATTTCACATTTCCGACGGCGAATCGCGCCACGATTTTCCGTTACACACACACACACACACACACCTTTGAAGTGTCGCGCGCCGAAGAAAGCGCCTCTTCGCCCCGCGCGCGGCCCCGAGTGTCACCGGGACACCGAGATATTCTCCGATAACACGATATTTCCCGCCGAAAGTGCCTTTCGCTGTTAAACCAACTCTGACCGTTTCGCGTCTCTGTGTTTAGTACCCATATCACACATCGTGGCTCTGGTCGGAGATCCCACCTATCTTCCCTGCGACATATCAACCACTCACGAGGGGGACTCGGTGCATCTTGTGCTGTGGTATCGCGAGGATCTTGGTACATCAGTTTACAGGTAAAGTGCAATCAATCTATATACAGGCGAACGTACATACGTACGTACGTGTGAGAACGGACGGCCGAGCGAACGAGCGAACGAGCGAACGAGCGAGCGAGCGAGCGAGCGAGTGAGTGAGCGAGCGAGCGAGCGAGCTCGACACACACGCATACGCAAATGCACATACGCCTGCACATACGGTCACGTACACAGAGCACCGGGCCGCAAACTATCACCGGCCGTTCCTCCTCCTCCGTCGGTCCAGGGCGGACCGACTGCAAACAGCCCGCCGGCACAATGCGAGATTGGTAGTCGCTTTTATCCGAAAATTGTCTTCGAACTCGATTTTCGCCGTCGCGCAAGGAATATATATCTTGTTTGCGCGCGCGCGGGAAAGAAAGAGAGGGGGGAGGGAAAGAGGAACGAGCCGCCGCTGAATATTGCACAAGCGTCGATTTGTAACGATCGTCCGAAAAGGGAGAGAGAATAATCGGATAAAAACGGAATGAAATCGACGCTCTATGCGGAACGCGCGCGATCGTTATTGTCTTATTGACGCGGCGGCGAATTTTCCAAACGTCCGCGCGTGCGAACGCGCATCCGGCGTGGCGATAGATCATTATCGTTATCGCGTATCGTAGATCATTATCGTAGCCGCTGATCAGCCGCGCGAAAAAAATTGCACCGACCCGTATCATCTGCAAGGGCTGAAATATCGCCCCGCCTCGCGGATGGCGCTTTTTAACCACGACTGGCTCTCTCTCTCTCTCTCTCTCCCTCTCCCCCCCCCTCTCTTTCCCTCTCTCTTGTGCGCGCGTGCGCGCGATCTCCGGCCCCGGTATTATGTAGATTAAATTTCGCGGTTGTGTTACGCAACTGTTACCCGTCGCGTCCGCGATGTACATACTAATGACGGGCGGTATCGCGATACCAACGCGGAGATATATGTTTACGATCGAAAAATAAAATGGAAAAAAAAAGCGGAACAAAAGCGGAACAAAGAGAGACCATGAAGCGGTGGCAGCGCGCATCTCCATCACCATTACCACCGTCGACGCGGCGCGTTTCGCGCGACGCCGCCGCCGCCGTCGTCGTCGTCGCCATCGCCATCGCCATCGCCATCGCCATCGCCATTGCCGTCGTTACTCCGAGCTGCGTAAACAAATTTCAATGTTTCATATGACTCCGCCACCACGCTTTTAATTACCCGTCACGTGCCGTCCATCGGGCCGCTTACGCAACAACGTCGCGCAGAGCGGCGGCGACCGCCGCGCGCGGTTATTCGAGCTCGTCAGCGAAAATACGAGCGAGCGAGCGAGCGAGCGGGCGCGCTCGTAGATAACGAAATTCGCGATAGTTTCATCGGCCAGCGCCGGCGTGGCGTCTTAACCGGGTTAGTGCCGTGGACAATGAAATTGCGTCCATCTAGTTTTCCTATCGCGACGCGATTTTTCGCCGAGTTTAATTTTCCCTCACGTTCGCTACAAACCACGTGAACTATGCGGACAAACAGATTGTTCGTTATTCTGATAGCGCGCGATGAACGTCGCTGAAGGCCCGAAGGCAGCAGATTTATCACGCGCGTGGCGTCGGGAATACGCGCGCGCGGTTTTAGACCCCGAGTTAAGGAGAGAAAGGGGGGCGAGAAAAGGAGGTCTCCGCTCGTTAACGTGCGTATAGTTCATTTGTTGTCGTCAGATCCTCGCCTCGTGTGTTGCAAACGAATTTGTGAAAAATTACAGATGTCGTTATCGCGATAAATGTAACGACGGACGACGCGAACGACCGAGCGGCTCGCGACACGTTTCCTTTAGTCACACGCCCGTCGTCAAAGTGTGCGGTTTAGCTCCGACCGAGCCGAGCATCGCCGCGATCCTCAATGCACTCTCTCTCTCTCTCTCTCTCTCGTTTGTGCAGCTATACGAGCACGTTTCCTCGCGACGGAAGTAGGAAGTATTCTTATCCGCTAGAAGACCCGTATCAGACAAGAGTATAACGAAGACAATTATGTTTTCCTTGAATTATGAATCCCCCGTTGCAGACATCGGGGATGTGTCTCGTGTATTTTTTGTCACTTTGCTTTCTGTCATAATGAATCACAGCTTCTGCAGACTCATGAATAGTAGCTCGCAGTCGTGACCGTTTGATGCGCCTCTACTTTCATCGCGAAACTTGTATTCAAACCGTTTCGCAAACGGGCATGCAAAAACTGCATCGCGACGCTACGAGAAATCGCTTTTCTCTCCTTCTCTCTTCCTCTCTCTCTCTCTCTCTCTCTCTCTCTCTTTTTATAAACAGGTCGCTATTTACATCGCAGATTAGTAGTGGCTGTAGCACGTTAAGTACTTTATATTTTAACGCCGCGCTGCTTAACATGCAACTCCCGTCCCGCCTACACCATTATCCACTTTCCCTTCATAGAAAAGCGGAGGAGTACCGCGTGATGCCGTGGAGTATCCTCGGCCCACTTTTATCGCGCCGGCTCACGGTTTTAAAGCCTTTTCAAATGTTGCGATATACACACGCCCACGGCCGGAGAAGGAAAAGGCCGGTCACACCACGGTAAGCCAGTGCGCTGACGGGTCTTAAAAGGGCGGAAAAATAGCGACGATACGCGCTCGCGCTCGCGTTCGAATGCCACCGCGAGATCCGCGCTTTTTATTCATATTCGACGCCGCTAAGTAACAAGTACTTTCATTTCCCGATAATACAGTCGCGCGTGCGCGCTTGCGGCCTGGTGAATAAGAAGTACGCGGCATCGACCGTGCGTGCGCTCGGAATGGCTAATAAATCGATCATTATACAGCAGCAACAACGAAATTTCGCCTTGTTTCGCCCGTTCGCGCGATTTGCTTGCACCGCCCACCGTTTTTTCCCTCCGCCTGTTCCGCCCGCTGTTTGCGCGCGAGAAACTCGTCAAATATTGTCAGACTTTCTGAGCGTCCAGAATTGAACACGCGGATGAGATAAATAAATGTTGTAATCTCGTCGCGCGGCAAAATCGTGTCGCGTGACAAAATCACGACCAAGTTTGGTATCGAAAATAACATCGTTTGCAAAATCGGAAGCATCCGGCATATCTTTCGTGGAACACATTGTTTTCGTTCTCGAGCGAATCTAACCGGTTGCGAGCCGCGCCGCAAAGTCAGCGAGTTTACCGAAATTAAAAACAACGCGCGTATCGTTGTCACATCATGCAAATCATTAGGTACCAATTAACAGCGAAAGAGAACGCAATCGCCGTGAAACGAAATCAATTATGATGGTATAATTATTACAATTTGATAGCGTTCGTGGCTTGAAATAATTATTGCCCATGGTAACGATCGGTGGAGGAACTTTAATTATGTGCCAATTACATCGGTCGGCGATTCAATCAGCCGCGATAACGCTTGCTTACGGAAGAGAGAGAGAGAGAGAGATAGATGGATAGATAGATAGATAGATAAATAGAGATAGATCGATAGGTAGAGAAAGAAAGAGGCCACGAAAGAAAGGGCGATTTAAACTACACACACATCATATGTATATATATGTGTGTATGTGTGTATATATATACATATATAGTAACGAAATTCCTGGTGAATTTTAATTTATTCCTTTGCATCGGCTGATAGATTCATTCGCAGCCTTCACGGCAGACTGGACACAATGCTAATGAACATTCGAAATAACCATGATAATGACAGTGTTAAAATAGCTGTTAAATCGCCAATGAAATTACCAGCAAATCGTTTGGAATCGCGAGTTTTTAAAATCACATCAGATCGCTCGATCGACCATTGACGAGTGCAGCACGTGCCACCCATGTTGCCGCTGATGGTCTGCCGTTGGAGTCGATGGCCGGCGAAATGTCGTTTCCACGGAACGATCACACGATTTTTTCGAGGCCGTCGATGTTCCGGAGAGATCAGAATTTCGATATTTACCGCAGAGACACGCCGACTGCGACGACATGCGTAGAACGATGATATTATATTTTCGTTAACTCATTTCCGCTATCAAAGAATAATCTCGTTAGCGGTGCGATGGTTTATGCACCACGTAGGCTTCAGAAATTAATTTTACAGCTCATCTCGTCTCGTATTACACTCGCCTAAATTAAATTATCTGTTCAAAGTGAAGATATAGCGGAAGAACGTTCTCTCTCTCTCTCTCTCTCTCTCTCTCTCTCTCTCTCTCTTTATGCCTCTTTTCCCTTTTTAATAATAAGTTTGTAGGGAATAAACGTACATAAATTTTTTCGAAATGACGAAATTCCCGAATCGAATGTAGCATTCTAGAATCTATGTAATATGTCCGTCACTTGGAATCGCAATTTCGAAATAATTCGAAACATTCGCAACTATTCTGCGAGCGCGAGTGACACCCCAGCTAAATCGAATTATCAGATCGCGTGTGTGAATCGTCATGTTATCATTCAGCGGGAATTTATTTTCAACGCTTTTCAAGGAATTCGACGTTAAAAATGCAACGTGATAAAAGTGGGACATCCGTATAGATAGGTATACGCGCGATCTTTCTGTTCCCTTTTCTCCCCTTTCGTTTTTTATTCTTTTTTATTTTTTTGCCTCTCTTGTCCGTACAGTAACCAAGAGCCTCCTCTGCTACCGGGTGCACCGGCATCTTTATAAAACTTTTTACATTGCTTTAAATACCTCTCTTATATCGATTTAAATGGCTCTCACCGAGGCTCGCTGGTGAGAAAAAAAGTCTCGCAACAAAAACACGAAAACTTTGTTATATGACAGGATCGGAAAACGAGCGAGAGAGAAAGAGAGATGGAGAGAGATAGAGGAAAAGAAAGAAAAGTTTTCAAGTCGGCGCGAAACTGACGACGACAATGACGACGATGACAAGGACGACGACGACGACGACGACGACGACGACGACGACGACGACGAGGACGACGACGACATCGACGACAAGGACGACGACGATGACGACGACATTGGTGTCGTTGCGGAGAAAATTTACGTGTTACATGAATTGTAAAATAACCAATTTTGCGTATCTGATATCGCTCGTGTTGCCGTGTGCAACGCTTGCAACGCTTACAGCTTTATAACAATAATTCTTATATTTTTATATTAATAATTCTTATATTTACCATGAAATTATCCCGGCCATAATTCAGAACGTCGCACTTCTCAGATAGAGATGTTTTAATTTGCATGCTTATTATTGCGCTACACACGTGTGTATCGTAAAGTGTGCGAGCATACATTTACTTTAATTGATAACATTCCGATTATGCCTGTCCGAGAATGTATATAACCGAACTGCCGACTACATTCGGCAAGATACCTCCGTTTAGTTACGATACGCAAACACGTCTTGCGCGTTATACAACCTATATTTTATTTTGTCCTGCTGCAATATCACAAATGCGCGCACGATAAATATATATATATATATATATATCCAGCTTTCGACAAATATAATTTTATTCGCGCTTTTGGGCATCCAGATGAAATTTGGTCCATTCGAATCGTGTAAAACCCAAATTATCATATTATTACCGTCATTATCGGGTTATTAAATCAATTTATACATACGTTCCAATATTTAATACGTTAAAATCATGATGAAAATTTTGTAATTTATTGACACTAATACGACGTTTAAACTCGCTTTTCCGAGCTATCTATAAAAACAGCCTCAAGGGAGACAGAACAATGGACGCAGAGAGAGAGAGAGAATATATTTTAATAATTTTATATTAAAATAATTTTAATATATATCTTCCTCGCGATATTGCAAATTTTATTAGGAAACACGAGGGCGGACGAGAGCATCTGAAAATCCATTATTATCCGTGAATAGATGATGCGTCGTTCGGAAAAGGTCAATGCGAAACGGTAGTTCACATAGCCTACGCTTTCTCCGATTATTAATTGCACTCGATCTCTCAGATTCTCCCCCTTATCGGTCTCTCGTCTCCTTTCTGCCGCAGTGTCGACGCCAGGGGCCGGGACTTTGGCTTCGCCGAGAAATGGTCGGACGACACCGTGTTCTCGAATCGGGCCTATTTCATGCCGGACAAGCAGCCGGCCGAGCTCGGGGTCGATCACATCAGGGAGGAGGACGCGGGTATCTACAGGTGCCGCGTCGACTTCCAGATCGGCCAGACGAGAAACTCCAAAGTCAATTTGACCGTGATCGGTAAGTTTGTCCGATAAGTAAGTTTTACGGAGCGCGCGGGATCATTTCGATTCCCCCCCCCCCCCCCCTCGTCCTCCGTTACCTCCGTCGCCGGCGCCAACCCGCCGAGCAAATTGCGTCTGCGGGGTTAACGTTGCGCCAAATCGACGCGCTCGTTCGACGAATACACTTGCGAAACCGATACGATTATCGAAAGACGGATTTGAGGCCGGCTCCAGGCTGGCCACGCGCAAAGTAACCGGATGATGATGACCCTAAGTCTAATTCGAACGTGAGCTAGATTCGAGGTTGTTTCGACGTTACGTTCATCAGCGTGAATCTTTCGGGGGATATGGTTTTCCCATTCTCTGCAAAATCGTCCAGTGTTTCTAGAACGGAACGGGATAAACTCGGGTGAGATGACCATAGGCTGTAATTTTTCCGACAAATGCTAAACAGTGGCGTTTTTTGTATCCATTCTCAAGGATGATTGACATCTGCTGCAGTTTATGCGCGTGCACTTTTTGGAAACAACGATACTGTGCATACTCGTATATTCTCGCCATCTTATCCGAATTTACTCTTCTCGATTAACGATTCAATTCGATCAGATCCGACGAGTCTGTATTGCGCGAAACGGCTGCGCTTAAATTGTACACTTCCGTGTGCGATTACGGGATTTTGTAACGTCGCGACACGCGAGAAGTCACGTTCACAGTGAATGGTGGTATAAATCCAAGATGGAAATTGCCCGCTTTTTGCGGCTCCGTGCATCGTCCGTCCGCTTACTGTGTGCGTAAGTGCGCGAATATCATAAACGCTGGTGTCTCCTCGCGCTCGGTGCAGCAGCTCGATAACGAATTAGCCCTTCCTTAGCAATCTTCCTTCTAGAACTCGCGTCGTCATTATCCGAAACGCGCGACACTGTGTAAAAAGCCTCCCCGTTATTTTTACCAGCGCGAACGGCAGGAAGAAACCGGCCTTCGCGTCTTCCAAGGAGTAACCGGAGCCAATTGTAAACTTCGCCGAAGCTTCCCTCCGGCTAATTACGTCTTTCATTAATACCCAATTAGCCGCGCTCGAGCGGAACGACCACTTGACGTGTATTGCGATTATGCTAAAAATGACACGAAAGTTTTACGGACTTGGCGTAAGTGCCGCCTCGAAGTAACGTGTCTCCTCCTCCGCCGTAGACGTTCCCGCTCGAGCACGCGCGCGCGCGCGCGCGCGCGTACAACTTCGCTATTACTAAAACCCATCGTCGTAAGGTATTGCACGAGTGCTCAAGGCGAGAGGCAGAGCCGTGCGAGGATCAACTCGAGACTCGGTGATCGCCGAAAAGGACTTTTACTGGAATTAAAGCTCTTTGATGCTCGCTAAGATGGAGACAAGTGTCGCGCGAATCAACAGATAGCGAATCGTCGCCCGTCGTCGTCGCGTGGACGATAATTATTTGGCGCGCGCGCGAGCCTTCGCAACGATTCCCCTTGAGAATCGTGCCCGCCGTTGAGAGAGCCGTGTCAGCGTGTATACGCGCTTCTGCACTTCCTCTCACGAAGCCGCGATAATTTCCTTCAAATATTCACTATTTCAATCCGATTATCGATTCTGTTTATATCGTGAAAAACGTCGCTTGTGTAAAAAGAATGCGAGATTGAAGCGGGTGTAGTATACCTGAAGAGAGTCACCACGCCACGTGAAATTAGATCATAAGCTCCATCGAGATTGCTAATTAGCGCGCCTTTCTGAAAGCTTTTTCCTTCTTTTCGATGGTGAATTTAAAACATTGCGCCTTTCCTCGGACCGACCACGTTGTTCCGCAGCCGTTTGACGTGACGGGCATTTTCAGCGCGCCGACAAAAGAATTGCGAAACGGCAATTAAGCGACCTAATAAATTCGAAATAAAGTAAACGGCAAGGCGAGGCGAGCACGCGGCGCCGAAGAAGAAAAGGCGAGAAAAGAGGAGAGAGAGTGTGAGAGAGAGAGAGGGAGAGAGAGAGAGAGAGAGAGAGAGAGAGAGAAGAAAGAAGGAAGAAGGAGGAGAAAGAGAGAAACGAGGGTGATAGAGCGAGCGAGGGAACGGAGGACGGGAGGTTAAGGGGAGAAAAAAGAATCCAATTAACAATCCTGTTGAAAAGTTATGGAAACGCCGACGGGCGAGCGTGCGTCGCCTCGGGATTCGCCGCCGTTGGCCGGCATGCGCCGAGGAATTTTTCCCGCGGGGTAATTAGCCCCCCCTCGACATGCCCTCTCGACCCGCCAACATTTCGCACGTCCCTGCACCGAGCAGCCGTGCTTACTCGTAGACACTCCCGGCCGTTGGTAAACCTTTTCCAGATGAACGCCAATTAACGTGCTTTGCCCCCCCCCCCCCAGCTCCCTCGCCGTCGCCGCCGCCACCGCCGCCTTTCGCCGGCGAAATTGCACATCGTACTCTCGCCAGTTCCATTTTTCCGCAACGGGATGTACGGGGTGTACCAACACCAGCGAATAAATACTCTTTTCGTCGTCTGGTGACCGTTCGTACGTAAGACGGATACGGAGCCGTGGTAATTATCCTCCTGCCGGGGTCCGACGGTGGACGCAAGTTTTTTGTCGCCGCCTCGATGTCGCGGATTTGCCGTGGGTTCGCATTTGTCGGCGAATCCGCCGCGTTGGTGTATACCAATAGCCGTGGCGAGCCATTCGTGTCGTCTGGCGTCTCAGTGAGACTCACTGCGTTTGCCAGTTCGACCGCCGTTAATGTTCTCTCATGGCGAGCACGCGCGCGCGCGCTCGACGATAGCTAGCTGGACACCCAGTACGTGCACGATCGCGATCGTCAACGACACCGACGGGGAGCGAGACTGTTCGCGACATGGGCGAGAATGGGGGATGCCCGCCGTTAAACGCCACACCCGAGGAATTTAAATCGCACTCCTTTACGGGCGCGTTCGCGTTCCGTCGCGTATTTGCGCGTCGCAGCCGTCAAAGACTGGCGCGCAGGAGCGTGTGCACCGAACGAGCGAGGATGCGCAGGGTGCGGGATGCACTCGAATTAGATGCACTGTGTGTCGTGACAGTGGCAGGGAAGAGGGTCGGTCAGTGGATGAGGGTGAGCAGAGGATGCGAGCGTGTGACTAGATCGTTGGTAGAGCGCGATTTTATATCTTCCTTCTGGCCGTTTTGTTCCTTTTTAAATCGTCACCTTTTATGTTCGGAGATGCACGCTGGGAAGCGGATAGGTCAGCTGGTCGGAACGCGATACGCGTTATCGGGTGACCGAATTAACCTTTGACGACTCTAATGCCAGTGCGTCATGTCACGTCCAGTTAATGTCAAACGCAAGAAAAATGCAAGAGTACCTCTTGGTCGTCGGTGACACGCGCGCGACGTCGCGCTTGAAAAGTTAGAAATGCTATTTTTACTATACAAATGAATCGACTGCTCGATACCGTCAACGCTCCTCGTCGAATCTCCGAAAGATCTCGTTGCTCTCGGGGAACTAGTGCAATAGGATTTTGCCGTAAAGTGGATGGACGTGGTTGCGCGGCCGCGAATCGCGTGTCTCGTGTATCGCAGGAAGTGGATATTCCCCGTCCGATCGGCGGCCGCGGAACAATGTTTCCGAAGAAAGGCCGCGTCAGCCGTAAATATACCCCGCTCGTCATATTTCCCGTCACGGATTACCGCCACGGGCCGCGCGACGACAGCCGGCCCGAGTCAGTGTATCGGGGGGAACTTTGTGTTTGACAGTGGTTTCCAGCGGTGGAAAAAAATAAAAGGAATAAGGGAGGGTGAAAAGTTTCGTACGGTCGACGGGAACCAGAACCTTTGCCCCGAAGTTAAAGCTTTGGTAAACGAGGGCATTTATCGTACCAAGACGGTGCTCTCTTTCGGACCGAACAAGAAATACAAGGTATTCCAGCCCCGAAAGTATAGAATGTAATTCGATAAATTTTCCGCGAGATGCTGCCGGTTTCAAAGCGGCATACCTCGCAATTTCTGTCGGCCAATATTGACATTTCAATGCGAATAACGCGCGCGCGTGCTCACGCAACGGGCGGACATGAATTGTGTATATTTTGCAATTTCGCAAAGTAATGACGACGTTATCGGACGATGTGTGTTACGCAGTCGAAAATATTTTATCACATATTTTTCCGTAATTACTGAATTAATACGTATCTGTACGCACGTAAGTGTACATGTGTACGTGTGTGTGTGTGTTTTTTTTTTTTTTTTTTACATTATCAGTTATTGGATACGCACGCATTTACAACAGCGAGCAGTTCGAGCGCGTAATTGAATTACCACGCGATGGGGTGAAAAGAGTCCGCTTATTTCCACCACGCCACGCCCGTGCTTATTTATTTCCAGACGGAGAATGTCACTTACAAGATAATACGAATTACAAACAATTTTGCCCGCGCTCGCTCGAAATTTTACGCAGCAATAAAAAAAGAAGAATGGCTCGAATATGGTCGCGCGAACTGGCACTTTTAGGGGCCGGCCTTGCTCCGCGTATACACCTATCAGTTCTCGTTTAAGCAGATATTATATCATACTTTAGGGTTTCATAAAATACGGGCGAGAGGAAGATAAGGCGGTTCCCGAGTAACCCAACGGGGAACCAGAAATCGGCGCAAAAACTCTAAAGAAATGGCCGCTCTCTTCGCATTAAGACTTCCTCGAAGTCGAGCTACAGAAAACGAGCGCATTTATCTTCTCGAACCGTTGTTTCTTTAAAGTAAGAAAAGACCGGAACGCGGAAAAAGCCGGAGTGTAGTTTTTTACTCGGGGGGTGGGGGAGGGGGAAGAAAGATAAGACGTAAACGTGTAATACGCCTCTCGGCGCGCGACGCGCCCCGTGCCACGCGCTCGCGAGCGCAACTTCGTAATCGCCATTGTCGAAATTTCGCGTGCAGGCAAAACAGACCAGCCTGCCTCCCATCCAGGCCGAACCTTCTCGTCGTTCGCGCGAGACACGGCGCCATTCCGCTGCGAGCGTTTCCGTTGCGTTTGTGACACGACGGCGTCA